TGAATGGCGACGGAAACAAGTTTATCAACGATTTTCTTGATCCCGACAAATATATTTCTCAACAACCTCAGTTGGCGAACTTCTTGATTGAATACAAAGAAGAGTGAAGTTCAAGAATATTCGTACAAGATGCGAAAGAAGTACTGATTTTAACCCCATTCATGTAGGGTAGAGATTTTGGGGATTTTGTTTTGAGTTGAAATCGAATCTGTGTGCTGTGTGATGTCGAAGGGTTATAATGAAAAATTGACATATATTTGCACAACCCACAAAACAAGGTGGATAGATATGGATGGGGTAATTATGGAAGATTATAAAATTTATGGTCATTTTTCATTAGAGTGCGATGAATATGGACATTACTAAAATTTCCCAAAAAAGTACTGCAAGTCCTAAGCAGGGTTCAAAATGTCGAGAGACATGGCGACATGTCGAAATGTCGACATGTCTTTTTTTTTCCTCTTATTCTTTAAGGTTATTTTATTTTCATCATCTTCTTACTATGCCATTATAGTCTATAATTTCTCACAACCTCGATGATTGTAATCTTAGTCTGTTCAATGAAACATTCGAATTTTAATATTGTATAAAGTATAACTAATAAGATTTGGAATTTACTTTATTGATAATTTCTAATCCAATCCAGTTCTTAGTTATACAATTGAACAATATATGAGAAATATTGACATATATACAAATTGAAATAATCTTAGAATTTTTTAAAAATGTGGTGAAACATGACGTAGAATATGTAATTTAATTAATATCAAAAAGATGATCTCGGAGGATCTAATGTACTATCTTGATAACTTTGATATAAATTACAACGTTCTCCCGGTCATCTTAGACTGAAAGTTTTGAAGGTAGTTGCTCAAATGAGTAGAATATGAAGCACATATGAATCCCATTGGTAGATAATTTGGATGAATGACACAATCACGAGGTTGAGGTGTTTGAAAATTGTATAAATTTGATTAGAAAGTTGGATTGATGATTGATTTCACAATGTGTTTGAAAAATGTGTAAATTCAAATTTGAAAAGAGAAGTAGGTAAAAAGTAAACAGGTTTCAAGTCGGTAATTATCTTATTTCCAAATGAATCCTATTATGAAAAACACTAAAGAAGGTAGTCAAAAGTTTACAATTAAAGTTTACTTTACATATTCAAATAATTTCCATTAATCTCCATTAAAGGAAAAAATCTTTTTTCGATATTTCTATCGACATAGACATTTTCATAAGTAAAATGGTCATATTCTTACATTTAATGGTTAAAAGTGATCAATTATAGGCTAATTAAGCTATTATTTGCTAATTCAAAAAATTTCCATCAATTTCCACAATTTCCATTATTTTTTCCAAAATATCCATGTCCATCGACATATCCGTAAAATCGGGACCTCGACATTTTCATCGACATCAACATCGACGTTTTGAACACTGGTCCTAAGTCAAAATTCTAGATTTTCGTTTTTTTTCTCTTATCCTTCAATATTTCCTTTTAAATTGGAGATATTTTAGTTAGGTTTTTCCTCAAGTATTAGCAAGCTAATGGAATTTTAAATTTTAGAAAAGAAAGATTTTAGGAAAAATGCCTATCTATGAGGTTAGCTTGACATCAACCACATCTTCTTTGTAAAAGAAACCCTAAGTTCTCTTTCTCCCTCCCTTTTTCCTTCCACTGTCGCCCTCGGTGAGAAACCAGGCGCCGAATACCCCAACCCATCCTCAACGGCGTCCCGACGATCGGCGATGTGGCGGCGACTTCTTGAACCCACTGACCCTTCCTCGCTGGCGTTCAAACTCCCAACCCCTTCTGCGGCATTCCCTCGGCTGCGTATTATGATTTTATAATTTAAATAATCTTTAATATGTATTCTTTAAGATTTTTTAGTATCATTTTTTAATAATGATTTTATAGTTTAAATTTGATCTTTTTAGTATGAGTTTCAATCATGATTTTCTTGTTTAAATTTAGTTTTAGATTTTAATAAGATTTCTTATTGGATTTGTTAGTATAATTATCATAAAATTTGATTGGAAAAATATTTGAATTAAAAAATATAGATAAGATTTTCAAAATATTTGAATTATTCTATAAAAATGGTAGAGAAGAAATATAGGTAGGATTTCTCTTGTATAAAAGAAAAAAATAATACATTCATTCTAAAATCATGAGAGGTTAATTTTTGAAATCATTTAACATTTTAGGTTTATTGTTACCTTAAAATAAGATACATGAAATCGAACAGGAGACCAAATTCTACCCCTATAATTAAAGATTCTGCCTTTTCTCTCTATCCACAAACCCCATAAAATATGCCAAAATTCTTTGATAACCATAAAAAAAGTGCCCCTGGTTATGAAACGGGAGCGACTGAATGCAACTCCTCCACCAATACACCTGCCATATTTCAAATAATCGAGACTGAAATCAAAGTCTTCGAAAAAGAAAAAATAAATAATAATAAAAACATCGTTCCGACCAAGTAGACAATTAAATGGCAATTCCAAAGAAACCAATACCTCCTTTTAAAAAAATAAGGCATAACAGACAAAAAAAAAAAAAAATGAATAGAATAAAAAAATTAAAAAATTAAAATGAAGAAAAGAAAGAAGGGAAAGGTAAAATGGCGCATAGAGTTTTATCATTATCGTATAAATGAAGTGGGAGCACGTGTGTTTCCGACCGCCCCACGTGGTCTCTTCTTCTGGGCGTGATTTTACTTATCACTACTCCCAATTTATCTCTCTCTTGAAATCTACCCCACATGACTCATAGATTTTTTATTTTTATTTTCTTTACTATAATAATTGCAATCTACAAAATGTAGATTATAAATTATGCTTTAGGTTTTCTCTTCTATTTTCTCATTCTCTCTACACTTGTTTGATTTTACAAATCTATTTGTTGGGTTTATGCTCTATCGCCTGCACTCGCTCTTATTTATGTGCAAAAGGTACCTTGTAAACTTGTTATAATTTGTTGTTGATTTGACGGTGAACTTTATAGTTTGAAAATTTATTGTGAACTTAATGGTAAATTTTTATGGTTTGATTCAACTCACTAATCGCTCTCATGGTTGAACTCTTTATCTCAACTTTAACTCAACCCGTGGATGAGTACACTCCTAATCTCTCTCTACTTTTTCTCTCACAGGAGAATGATTTCATCTCTTGATCTCTTTGCTTAAATGGTAAATCTAGTTCTCTTTCGATCGTCTCTTTTCATCTCAGGTGAATAAATGTAAGTTTCTTCTATTTTTAAAATTTTGTATTATCAAGATAAATTTAAATGTTACATCGTGGTAGTCACAACACTTCTTAGAATATTCTCGTTCATTATTTTGTTGATTTGTTATGTTTTTCAACTCTTTTAATACACAAAAAAAAAAAATTAACATGCACATTGATTATTTATGATTGACCATCTTTTCATCTTTTGTGTCCACCAAATTTCTTTCTTACCCAACAAATCTCTCTAAAAAGTTTTATTTCTATATTTCTCTTTTTCTTTGTAAATTTATTCTATCTGAATTTTCTCTATTTCTCTTATAAATATAAATTTTCTTTGTCATGTTTCTTTTCCTATAAAATTTCTTTACCTCCCTTACACAATTTTTTATATATCTAAATCTTTCTCTCTATTTGTCTAAATACACTCTGTAAAGTGTCTTGCACTTTTCTTTCCCCGCTGATGTGTATTTTTCTCTCGAACATATTTCTCTAATTTCTTGACTTTCTGCTTTTTTTCTTAATATGAAAAAATCAATTATCATGTATGATTTAAAAAATATACCAAAAACACAAAAAAAAAACATGAAACAAAAATTGTTATTACACGTCTTTAATATTTTATTTCTAATTTTAAAAATTGTTTATTGAATTTACTTTTACTTTTATTTTCTTTATATAGTATTTTACTTTTTGAAAATACTTTTTAGATTTCAGTCCATTGTAGTAACATAACCAGGTTTCTTTCCTAAAAAAAAATTATTTGTTTTAGTTTTTTTTTTTCTAAAATTTCAAGCGTATTTTTAAAATATAAATTAAAAGAAAAAGAATAAATTCTAGTAAATAACATGTTTTGCAAAAACAAAAAACAAAACCTAAAATGTTACCGAGTTTATCAATATTTTTAAAAATTAAACATAACCAAAAAAGATAATAATAACAGTAAAAATAAAAATCGATCTAATTTAAAAAAAATATATATATATTTTTAAGAAGGAGAGTCATAAATAGTTATTACAAATCTATTTTTAATTTTTAAGTAAACGTTTTTTAAAAAATTAAAATCCTTTATCGTGATAAAGTATCACTTTGAATTATGCATATACAGGAGGTGAAGTGAAGAACGAAGGTTCTCCCTCATAGTTAGTTTACATTAGAAAAATTAGATATAAAGTTAAAAAAGTTTACACTTTTCACTTTATTTTAAAAATAAAATTAAGGGCTTGTTTGACAATGTTTCTGTTTATTTATTTTTAATGAAGAAAAATGTATCACATGTTCCAACATCCAAGAATTCAAGTATGAGAAAACAATATTTTTATTTATGTTTTGGAACAAACTGAAAATGAGAATAAGAAAGGAGAAACTTGTTCGATTGTTTAAAAAATTTATATGTAATTGTGAGAATGTTCCAAAAAACGAGAAATAAGAAACAAAGTTAGTTGTAAAAAACTTAGATTTCTTAAGAAAATTGAAAACAAGATACAAGAATCCTTTGCAAAAAAAAAAAACAAGAATCGAGAATGTTACTAAATTGGCCTAAGTTGCTGACGTTCAGGTAGAGTTTACATTTTTTGGATTTTCAAAATTATATACATATAAAGCTAAAATGTAAAATTTTGCTTCTCCCTTTAAAAAGTTTTTGGTTCTGCCGTATACATATAGTTTGATCTAGTTTCATCCATTGTTCTTATGATAACAATTTTTTCATTCCTTGCCTATTTAGATAATTTTACCATCTCCAATCCAACAATATACAGGGACAACTAAGAGTTTGAAGGGACAAAAGGACCGTAATCAAGAATGGATATTTTGATCTCCATTGTAGCAAAAGTTGCAGAATACACAGTTGCACCAATTGGACGTCAACTAGGATACCTCTTTTTCTACCACAAAAATATAAAGGATGTTGAAAAACAACTTGAAAATCTTAAGACTACTAGAGAAAAGGTGCAAATTTTGGTTAATGAGGCAAGAAGTAATGCATATGAAATCTATGATGAAGTCTCGACATGGTTGTTAGCCGAAGTGGATGTTGAACTACGCAACATGCCACTAGAAAACAAAGGTGTATCAAATAGGAAGGGTTCTAATACTTCGTGCCTTAACTTTGTGCAACGACATAAGCTAAGTAGAAGGTCAAAGAAGAGGGTGAAAGATATTCTTGAAATCATAGAAAAAGGAAAGAAGTTTGATAAAGTTGGTTATCCTGCACCTCTCCCAGATACTAAAAGTTCTACTCTCCCTGCAGATTATCAAATTTTAGAATCAAGAACGTTACTGGCTGAAAAAATTAAGGATTCACTTGCAGATCCTAACGTCAACAAGGTTGGAGTATGTGGCATGGGAGGTGTTGGAAAAACTAAGTTGTTGGACGAAGTTAAGAAATTAGTATTGGAAAACAAATTGTTTGACCGAGTTATTGACGTGACTATAGGTCAATCTAACGGCGTAGTAGAGATACAAGACCAAATTGGAGGAAAATTAAATATGGGATTAAATATGAAGGCAGGAACTAAGGAAGGAAGAGCACCTTTCCTACGAAACAAGTTGGTTGAAATGAAAGATGATATCCTTATTATGTTGGATGATTTGTGGGATGAATATGATCTTCAAAAAGAGGTTGGAATTCCATGTCGTTCAAGATCAAGTAAAGAAGGATGTAAGATACTTATGACAAGTCGATCTCGAGATATATTAACCAATAGAATGGATGCAGAAAAGTGTTTTGAGGTGAATTCACTAAGTGAAGAAGAGTCTTGGAAGTTTTTTATTGCAATAGTTGGAGAGTTTGATAAAAATCGTATAGAACACCTAGCGAGGAATGTGGTAAAAAAATGTGGAGGGTTACCAATTGCACTAAAAATTATTGCAAAAGCATTAAAGGGGAAAGACGTACGTATTTGGAAGGATGCTTTGGAGAAATTGGAAAAACGAGTTTCAGTGAAAATTAAAGGAGTGAGTGACCAATTATATTCTTGCCTTAAGTTGAGTTACGATCGGATAGAAGATGAAGAAACTCGATTACTATTTCTTTTGTGTAGTGTATTTCCAGATGATCACAAAATTCATGTGAAAGACTTGCAGATGTATGCTATGGGTATGGGATTACTAAATGACATAGATAATTGGGAAACATCAAGGAATATGGTAGTTGAGTTGGTTGATCATCTTAAATCTTCCTCATTACTACTAGAATCCAACTCAGGTGACAATTACGTTCAAATGCATGATGTGGTTCGTGATGTTGCCAAATACATTGCAACAAAAGAAAATAAAATGTCATCATTAAGCTATGGGCGTGGACAAAGTGAATGGCGAGAAAAGGAGAGATGCGGATCTTATAATGTAATCTTTATAGATTGTGTAGACTTTCCCAACCTTCCACCAAACATGGAGTTTCCAGACCTTCAGATGTTAATATTAAGAATTCAATCCTTTTTTGGGGAGGGGCGAGCTATTCAAATTCCAGAAGCTCTTTTCGAAGGAATGAAAAAGCTTAGAGTTTTAGACATGACAAAGATGTGTTTTGAACCATCAAAGACATCGTTTACTCACTCGTTAAAGAACCTTCAAACATTACGTATGTCATATTGTGAATGTAATGACATTTTAACAATTTTTCAGCTAAAGAAATTGGAAATTTTGAGGATTAACGGAATTATGATTATAACGTTGCAGGTTTCATTTCCTGAGTTGGAGGATTTAAGGAGTGAAGGACTTAGTTTGGAGACGCTATGGCATAATAATGGGCTAAGTACACATCCCTTTTGCAAACTCCAAAATATACGTATTCAATATTGCAACAAACTAAAATATGTATTTCCTTCGAACGTGGTGACATCGCTTGTTTTCTTAAAGATATTAGAAATTTATACATGTGAATTATTAGAAGGGATATTTGAAGTTGAAAAGTTGACCGATGAAGCCAGAGCCACAGTGCCATTGACAAAATTAATTCTAATTAGCCTACCTAAATTAAAGTACGTGTGGGACAAAGATCCTGGTGAATTTTTGACATTTCCAAACCTAAGAAAAGTCGAGGTTTCAGGTTGTCCTCGTCTTAAAAGTTTTGTTCCAACTTCTTTCATCAGACATATGGATGAGACTAAAACTTTAGTCACTGATGAAGCCTCCAAGTTGGTGGTTCCTGAGGTAATGCATCTTTTTCATTATTATAGCCTATTTATGCGCAACATTTATATATGTTTATATTTGGTACTACATTTGAAGATTTTCATGATACTCGAGTAATTAAAATAATAGTTTAGAAACTTCTGTTTTATTTTCAGATGGTATTATCAAAGGGGTTTGGAGATGAGAATATAGTTACTTTGTCGGTGGAAACGAGTCAAGAATCAAACTTCATTCAAGTGAAAAAATGTGACAAGATGAATTGTTTACTGCCATCATCAATCTCATTCTTCAATTTGAATTCTCTGATCATTTGGGAGTGCAATGGAATGATAAATTTGTTTAGTTCCTCTGTGGCGAAAAGTCTGGTGAGTCTATATTGCTTAACTATATCTAATTGTGAAGAAATGAGTTCGATAATTGCAAGAGAGGAAGAAGAAGAAAAGGATGAAGAAATTATTTTCAAAAAATTGACCGATCTGGAATTGGATGATTTGCCAAGATTAGCAAACTTTTACTCTGGAAAATACTCGCTTAAATTCCCCTGCTTGAACAACTTGCGAATAACAAAATGCCCGAAAATGAAGCCATTTTCATATGGAATAGAAAAACAGGAGAAGCTGAACGGGGTATAAATGTCATTACCCAAGACTTCCATCAAGAAGAGGTATGCATGCTTTTTGTTTACTAATCATTTTCTTTATTTTTTAATTTATGCTAAATACATGTCTGGGTACTTTTTTAATTTAGTCTCTGTTATTTAAAAAGATTTTATTTCGTCCTTTATATTTTACTTTTTTTTTTTAATTTAGTCTCTCACTGTTACGGAATAATAAAACAAATTCATCATAATAAACTTACATGATATAAATACTTAGTAAATTGAAGAAAATTTAGAGTATAAAATTCTAGAATAAAACTCGAAATTTCTTAGAAATTTGGAAATAAATTAGAAATGTTCGTCTCTCATATTACTTTTTTTCTCCTTTAAATTTCTACAATTCATTAAGTATTGTGTGATGTTTGTCTATTATCAATAAATTTTAACATTTATTGGTACCGAGGGACTAAACTGAAAAATATGAAAATATAAAAACATAGGACACTAAATTGAAAAAAAAAACACAAAATTTATAGAGTAAAACATATATTCGAGTCTTTAATTTGCCATTAATTTTTTTTAAAATCTTAGCTAAATTTTAAATATAAAAATTAGTTTTCATTATTTAAAAGAACAAATTGGCTAGAGACACTACATCATTGATTATGTTTTCAAATTATACTTTATATTTTCCCTTTATTTTTTCATTTTTGTCTCTCTTATCCCAGGTGAAAATGACAACCAAGTGGATAGCGAGGAACACAATGAAGATTAATTATATTTTCCAATCATAATTTAAATAAACGAAATATTGTCTAATGGTCGTAGAGTTATATATGTATTTCTTAATCATTGCTTACTTGTGCTAACAAAGTGAAGTAAAATTTTATTTTCTTGATATTATATAGTTAAGTGATGTTGAATCTTGGACGTGGTAACAAATTAGAAATTATATATATTAGTTTTTATTTTATTATTCTTTCTCACTATATATTATTATTATTATTATTGCAGGTAATCTATAATTGAAAGGAGGCTTGTGCATTCTATTATTTAAAGGTAAGTTTATGCTAATTATACACTATTGCCTAAATTTCAATGAAACACAATTATATATATGGATCAAAGTTTCTTTAATTCAATATTAGGAATAATGAGAATTTGATCATGTGAGGACTGTGACCTTTCAAAGAAGTTAATTACTAATGTTTTAATTAATTGGATTGTACTAAAGTTGGTTAATTATAGATATATTATAAGTGGATATGTTTTAATCCATATATGACATAATTTGGTATTGACAATGATTATTTGTAATTTATTAAATGTGTATTTTACATGCTTTTTGAAAAAAAAAATCGAGTTAAATGTTTACTATATGAACACTTTGAAGGCAATTAGTTAAATGCTTACTCTAAGTAGTTTATTTTATTTGTTTTTTGAATTTTTAAACAACTTTTGATTAATGAAAATAGGTTAGTAAACACTTTTAATGGGCCAAACTTTTAATTTTTGTTTCACTCCTTAAAAATTTTAACAAATAATACTACGGGCTATTTATTTTTTTAGAGTATAGGTGCATGACAGTTTCAGATGTTTGGAATCTCAGGTATCGAAATTTTAGATGTTGGATAACTTTAGATGAGCACATTTGTTTCGTAGAAATATTTATAACGATGCCATAAATATCTGTTAGCTACGTTTGCATATGAATATACTTAATTGCATAAAGTTACTTAGACACTAATTTATTAACATAGTTAATGAAAATTGATAAAAGAAAATATATAAAAAACGAATGAATGGTAAAAATGTAAATGGATGATACCTTCAGCATGGGAATATTAGGATGTGATCTCCTATATAGGCAACCTGTGATAATCGGGTATATTAAGATACTCGAATTTCCAAGTAAAATAAAGGTAGGAATGCAGATGTCTGTCCAATAAAAATCTTGAGTTCCTACCAAACGAATGAGGTCCCCTCTTAAAAAAACACTTCTAGCCATCATAAGCACGCAAAACATGCACACTTAAAAGTTGCATTGTCAATAATCATTTCCTGGTTTTTATTTGTTTCACTTTTTAAATTTCTTTGATATGTTATTATTTACCTAATTTAATTATAATATCTCTCTTAGCTTCACAGTTAAGAATTGGGGAATTTTATTTCAGTTAGTGATTATTTTCTTCCACATAATAAGATGTATAAGATCATTATTGGAACAACTATTTGATTGAGTTAATGACATTTTTACTTTTTTCTCAATTTACATTTACTTTTTATTTACCTAAACATCGATTAACATCATGACTTCTATATTTGAAAAAAAAAATGAAACCACTAATTAGCGTTCAATAATTTGTAACATAACACTTACTAATTAATAGTACCGTTGTTAATTATAATCATTGGTCCACAACTATGATAATCGCTACCAAAGCGAGCATAGTTCAACGGTAATTAACATATACCTCCAACCATGACATTTGAGTTTGATTCCCCGTCCCTAAAAAGAAAAAACTGTGATAATGGCTCAATTACAACACCAAAAGGATAGTTTAGTAAAAGAAAAAAATTGAAAATTTAAATTCTACCATATTCACCCAATGCTACAATTTTTATTGGGTCCTTCATTATGTAGAAAACATTGGTTTTTTTTTTTTTAGACTAATTTATTTCCCTCGTTGATTGAACATATGTTCTGTATTTATCTATATATAATATATATAATCTGCCTCACGTTCTTTCTTTTTTGTTCAAAATGTATTTTCTTTTACTTTCATCTTTTACTATTCTCGTTTTCCATTGTATCTTCGTTATGAGTGTGTAATGTGTTTAGTTTAATGAAGTGTTGTTTTGTATTTCTCAATTATGTAATACTCTGCTTCTTTATATTTGCTTTTTTTAATTATTCACTGCAAAATTGCTTTTATTTTTATGTTTTTCAGCTATATTTTGAAATTTCCTATCATCAATTTTCACCATGGAAGCTGTGAGAGGAAAGCAGCTGCTAAATTGATTGGCAACTTCTAAACTTTTGGTT